CTAAAGTTGAAACTAGCTCAAATAGCCGGCAGATACCGTATTCGGAGTATTACGTTTTTCACAGCCTTCCCTCCTTATACCTCGAACATACAGTCTCGTCCAGTTTTTTTCTTAATTATATATTACAGGCGGGCCCGTAGGGCCCAAACAATTTGTTACATTTTGTTTTGGCCGAGCCTCCCCTGTACCCCTGAAAAAAATCCCGTTTTTCCCAACACTGAGAAAGGTAGTGGTGGGACCTGTAGCGCTCCGATGAAGTGCTAAGTGCTGCGCTACCAGGCGTACTCGCTGTTCGGAGACGGCAGCGCTCTGCGTCGGCAGCAAGGTGTGGGATTCGGGGTCTGGGGCGGAATGATGTCTTCTTCGTTGATTTCTAGGTTCGGCCATCACCCTCAGCTCTGACAAGGGGCTGTGTCTCCCTGTGGAATACCAGGGAGCAGGGAGATTCCGGTTCCTCCTACAACAGAATCTACAACATTCAAGTAATGGAACTCGTGGCAGTGTGAACACGACGAAGGGAGAGAGAGTCTAGTATGAGACAGCGGGCACATCCAATAGTGGCAGCTCTGGAGGCAGTGGGTGGGCAGCCGGTGGTGGTGGGACTAGTGTTGGGAGGAGCACGTGAGAACTACTGTTGACTATCTCGACCGGGAGCGTGAAAGACCCGAAGCTCGAGGGGTAGCGGTGCCACCAATGGGAGTGGGAGTTCCTCTGTTGGTAGTGGGAGCGTCTCCGTTGGGATCAAGGGCGCTGAGCACTAACCAGGACATTCTCTTACACAAAATATTTAAGAGTACATTAACCTAGCCGTTTTCCTTGCTAAATACTGCTTATGAGTGGCTTACTTCATGACAAACGTACATGATAATATTTGGAAATTTCCGAAAGGAGCGCGGAGGAGGACAGCGCTCCGTTGAAGCGCTGCGCTACCGATGGTATCGCCGTTCGGAGACGACGCCGCTCTGCATAGGCAGCAACTCGAAGGCGCGGGATTCGGGGTGTTGGGCGGAGCTATGGAGTACTCGGTACTCTCTAGGTTCGGCCACCACCCTCAGCCTTGATCAAGGGCTGCGTCTCTCTGTGGAATATCAGGGAGCAGGGTGGTTCCCGTCCCTCCTACGACCTTCAACGTCCAGAATTCAAGTGTTATCTACTGCGGTATTATGCCCATTTATTGGTTAAATACATTGCAAACTGCACGAAGAAGGGAGAGAGGCTCTAGTGCTTGGCGAACGGTGTGTCAGACAGGAGCAGTGGGAGGGCAACTGGCAGCGGTGGGACTGTTGTTCTGAGGAGCATGTACGGATTACTAGTGACTATCTCAACCGGGAGCGTGAACACAGGACCTGAAGGGCCACGGGCACAGGCTGTTTGGTCGACTGGTTGAAACAGCACCACTATACATGGAGACATACTTTAGTTACATTGACTTCTCTTATCTTGGCCTTTTTTTTTTTTTTTTTTTTTGGGGGGGGGGGAAAAAAACTCCAATCTATTCGTGGGGAGCATCACATGCTGAGAACCGGGCTCAGCGTCCCTTTGAAGTACAACTGAGAATATGTAACACATTTGAAGTTATGGGGCCATTACCCGGCTTCGGCTAAGAAAACAATCAGTCGATTACCAAACCTGTGAAAACCTATGAGAAACAACTTTAAGAACAACTGCAGTTCTCAGAAAAAAACTGCCTGACTACAGTCCAAACCTGGAAACAGAAGATCCTAACTAGAACCTCCTACTGTTTACACCTCCCCTTCAACAAGCGAAAAAACGTTAAGTCCAAGCGTGTAGTCCTCGTACCAGAACTCAACTGATCTCATACCCCCCTATGCTAGGGTTACAGAGCAACACAAACTTCCCCAGTACCGACCAGCCTGGTTCAGACGGCAGAGTGCCTTCCTCCCTCGACACTCTCGAATAGCCACACACCCCTAAGTTACAAGGGAAAAAAAAAACCGGCATCAGCTACGTTGGACAAACTGGTTATGCGTTCCTCCCTCGGCATAACAACTCCACAGACCTCTTGCTCCCCCAGGTTACAGAGCAAAGGCTCCAGCACCGGCCTGCGTCCTCCCAACCTTGTCCTTCTGACTTACTTACTTAAACAGACGTCCCTTCTCATGTTGACCCCCCCTTGCTTCCTCCCATCTTCCAGTTCTAACCTTCTCCTTCCCCCCCTGACAATCTATCCACAATCTCCCTAATCATAGGCAGAGCTAAACTAATGGCATACATGAGATCAGCCTAAAAAACAGTAAAACGAACTCCATCCACGATCCAACTCCTTTCCCGCACTGCAGAGGAAATACTACCGACCTTTATTTACCTCAAATTCGAAATTACATTCTATTTTCTTCTCCATAACTTTCAAGTTACTCTGTCGTTGGTCTTATTTTTGGGTGTTTTCAGTCGTTTCCTGGTCTGCCTTCATAAGTTTCTGTTGTCAGTGAAATTTCGTTTGACATAGTTTTAGTACTTGGTTTGTAAGCAGTAACAATGTATTTTTCATGTTTTAGGGTTCCCTCCCTCCTCTTAGAGACAATTATAACGTTGGGAATATCGGTGCCCTTGGTGTGTGAGGGTGGGAGTGTATTCCGTAGCTCGGGTTCTCTGCGGGTGGCCGAGTTGGTAAGCCAAATCCAAGCCTGTTTTTTTTTTTTTTCAAAGAAAGGGCTCAGCGCCCAAGGCTTCAATTATGCAATTGATTACAACACTTAACATACACACGCCTCTTCCCATTAGGGCAAGAAGAACCTCAGCCACTGCTCTCCTGGAGACAGCTTCCCTGTATAACACGAATATAGCATAGTCACGGGGCATTGATTGCTTTCCCAGTGAGGAAGGATTAACCCCGTTAAGTGCAGAATCATGCTCTGCCCTACGAGACTCCTCAATTATCCATACTTCAATCTTCTACATGGTGAAGAGTAGGGGAGATACCAATAAGGCAAAGATATTGATAACAGGACATGAAAGTTTAGTAGTTCGTCATTAATTACGACGAACTTCCCCTAAACAACAATTGTTAACACAGACACAAACCAAAGGGGAGCACAGTAGTTGGAAGAAAATTATAATCTAAAGATTCTAAACATAAAAGAGCATCAAACCAAGTCAAACCCTAACCGATGATGACCAAGGATTGGCCCCATGTTCTTATTTGGATTTCAGCATGACTCTCCTATGAGCAAGAAGTTGGAAGTGGGCTTACTTAGTTACTACATTTCTTACATTTTGTATCTGACGGGTTTTATAGGCTAAATCCCTGCTCCCCTCTATCTCTGGTTATGGTGTGCACTTTAACACACACCTCTTGCTTGTAGGAAAGGGAAGAGCCCAGGGCTGCGAACTTAGCTCGGAGCTTGAATTTGTTTACTTGGTTGATTTCGGTTCGGTCGTAGACTTGATTGGTAACCCAACACCTGCCCTGGAAACTTTGGTGAATTCGATAGGCTGAGTTAGTTAGGCAGAATTTACTTCATAGATTAGCAGTAGTTCTTGACCGATTTACAGGATGTATTGGGCCGTAAGCGAAATTGGGTAACAAAAAAGGAGAGAGATTGCCTGGTATTGGTATTAGACTCCGATTCTGGTTCTGCCAGACTTATAAGCAAAATTGGCTAATGCTGCCAGGATAACTCCGCGTTGAATTGTGATGTCCCCGACCTCGATTCGCTTTGTTTTTAATACAAATGGTATTTGAGGAAAAAAAAAAAAAAAAAGGAAAAAAAAAAAGCTAGTGGTGGCTTAAACCACCTCTTTCTTTCCAAGTCGTAGTTGCATTTGGGAAAATAACATGGGGGGCCGGGCGAGGGTTGGTAAAAATAAAACATTTGGGCCTTGTGGTCCTGATCGGAGAGAAAAAAAAAAAAAACTGCAGAGTTGAAAGGAAGGATGTGGGGGAAAGCCACAAAGGAAGTGTGCTCACAGCAGTTGCTCGGGGAATGCGTCAGTGTGCTCGCAGCAGTTGCTCTAGGAATGCATTTGCCCAGAATCATGGATAATTTCCTTTTTTGTTTTTTGTGTCGTTTATTTTTTGCTCCTAAGAGCATCGCTGCACTACTCTCCAGATGCACAAATGACAAAAAATATGGCGATGTATCTTTCCATGATCTAGGGGAGGATTCATTTTCGTGTTGCACAGTTCGAGAGTAGTGCAGCGAGACCCTAAGTTAGTTCTAGTGTCCTGCCTAGAGGAAGGGCGTTTTCCACGGACAACTGACAGTTGCAACCAACAGGGCACTCTCAAGTGTACTCAAGATTCTGTATCCAGCTGCAACCAACACGACACTCTCACATGTACTCAAGATTCAGTATCCTACTGCTTTTACGTCCAAAGAGTTGTTGCTGTTTTTGCTTCCCGGTCAGGTCAGGACTTATATCCAAGTCTTCCACTGCGCTACAAAGTGTCATTTTGTATGTATCAGGATGTACACTTCTTGTTGAGATTCCACTAACACTGCATTGTCACTTCAGTCCTTTTCATCACCTTGCGGATCCTTGGCTGTACATACATTGCCCAACTGGGCATGTATCAGTCGGTATCGGAGCACCTCACATGAATCAGGACAACCTAATCTAACATCTGGACCTAATTGCCAAAATCAATTTTTTTTCTTTTCTGAAAATTCCAATTTTCGTTCTTCTTCTTGTTTAAGGGAGATCGGGAGACCTACTGAACTTGCAAAACTCGGGATTTTTAATAATTTCTCCAATTTGTTTTTCTCTGCAAAAGTTCAAACTTTTCTTTTTGATTAATGGCTCCTTATCTGGGCGATTTATCCCACCCACCCCTCCCCACCTATGTTGTTGCCCCCTCTGGTCATATCTTTTCTATCTGTCTCCGGGTACCCCCTGCGGCGACATTGGTGAGTTGCCACGTCAGCAGACCAAGTCAGTAGGCCACGTCAACCGACAACCGCGCCACGTCAGCAGCCGAACAGTGCCACGTCAGCAGTGCTGGCTTGGTCTATGCTCACGTGCTTACAAACACTCGGCATGGATAAGAAGTCCAGGGAAACGGTGGCCTATCAGGCTTGGATGCTGGCTTTGATTACCGAAGCCAAGAAACGGGCGGATGTAGCAGCCGCAAAGAAGAAGAAGGCAGAGGATGCCGAGAAGGCACGTCTGTTGGCAATCGAACAGCAGCGCCAGCAAGACGAGGCAACAACAAAGACTGCCGATGAAGAACGTAATCAACGACGCAAGAAGATATTCAATGGAGAGTGGCGAGCCAAGACCGAGAATGGTAAGATGGAAGAGAGTGAAAACAAAATCGCTCTATACCTCTCTCGTTTCACAGATCTCCTTGCAACTTGCATTGCACAGCTGGAGGACATCCACAGCCTCGACGACGCGGTTCAGACACACAAACGGGCGTTTGATCAATTCAATAGCCGCCTCCAGCAGCTTCAGCAACGACCCGTCACCGCCCTCGATGCGAAATCCTCCAACACCTCTGATCGCCTCAATGCATTGGCGATCGACGTCGGAGCCCTCAAGGACAACGCGCAACTACAGCAAACCGCCACGCAACAACTGGAGCAGCGGATCTGTGTAGCTGCCGCCAACACGAGTTCGGCACTGCGCAAGACGACTCCAAAGTTCGATGGTCCAAAGATCTTCTGCAATTCGACGAAGAAGGACCCGATTCCGTGGTTCCGCAAGTTTGAACTCAAGTTGCAGCTACATCACGTCAGCGAGGACAAGAAAGACGCGTACTTGTACTCCCGATCGGGGGGCGCTTGCCAAGCATGGTTGGACAATCTCTTGTCAAAGTACGGGGTGGTGGCTGCCGACTTGTACACCAAGATCAGCTAGGATGATCTAAAGGTGGCGTGGCATAAGCGGTTCCAAGTAGAGCTGCCGGAGATCAAGGCAATGGACAAATTGCTGACCTTCGAACAAGGCACACTGCTGAGTGTAGACTGGATTGCCGAGTACCAATGCTTGACATCCGTCCCAGACATTCAGATGGGCTTCAAGGTTGTCAAACACTACATCACGAGGGCGTGTCCGATGTTGGGCAACGCCTTGACTTACGTCGAGGACACCCTGAAGACAACGGCAGAGTTTTTTGTCAAGATTGCACAGATCATTATCACGAACAAGGAGGCCAAGAACCTCAACCGTTCGTCTGCAACAAACCCGAGCAGAGATCAAAACCGGTCAAGAGTGGTCGTGGTCGCGGCGGCAACACCAACCGACCATTCTAGCGAGGTCGTGTCTGCCAATGAAGGGGACAGACTTGCAGCGGCCCGGGATGGTGGCCGCCCCGGTAAAGGCCGAGGACGCGGCAAGAAGAAGACAAACACCACATCTATCCCCGGACCTGGCGCAACAACTCCAACCCCATGGTCCCACTACGGTCTTTCCGAACGTGCGTACAAGCGATGCATGAGATTTCACTATTGTCTATGGTGTAACAGTGATCTCCACAACACTGTGGGTTGCCTGTCGAAAGGCAAGGCCAAGTCAAGAAACTGAGCACCGCCGGGAGTGAATCGACGACATTCTCGATGCCTTCGGAACCGGTCGCTTCGTGGGTGACCGCCCTTCGTTCCGAGGCACATGCGGAAGTCGATAATCCTCCTCTTCTATATTCTTATGAGGACTATGCTGCCTGACTCGTTCCTACGCTGGGTACTCATGCTCAAGGACAAGACGTGTGTGCGACATCTTTTCCGTCCGACAGCGGTGACTTATCGTCTTCAAGTGGTTCTTCACGGGATTTGGCGCGCAAATTCAATACAGAGGTATTGGATCCGCTCACGTCTGAAGATTTCACATGGCTTCCTCGCCCGACTATGGACCACTTGCCAGGACCGCAATGTGCAACATTATGCACTTATCTCCACACATATTCATCTTTCTATGCACCACCAACTTCGCCGACGAATGACGAAGCTGAGGTGGGGGACATCCTTGCGTATGTTACCAAGGTGGACCGCGAGTTTCGCAAGCATCGGTACGATGACAACAACGCACCGCTCCTTTATGTCTGCATCCAAGTTGGGCAAGCGTCCTTCAATGCTTTGCTGGATAGCGGAGCGACTCGCAATTTCATGAGCGAAGCCTTTATGCAAAGAGCTAACTTTGGCGCACAAGGTCGGAGGAAGGCAAACCCGATGGCGATAAAATTGGCGAACGGAAGGACGCAACAACTTATCGACCGTTACATCGAGGCCGTACCGGTGTATTTCGCACCTCATGCATGGGAACTGGTGACGTTCAACATTTTGGACACGGACTTCGATATCATTTTGGGAATGCCTTGGCTTGCAAGTGCGGATCACACGGTCAACTTCCACCGGCGGACTCTTACCATTCGGGACGCCTTCGGCGTCGAAGTGCCGTGTACTATTCCTCTTTCGCACCCTTCGATCCGGTCCCAAGTGGTGACGGCCACATCGTTCCGGCCTACTTGCGCTTACGAGAAGCCTGGCGAGATAGGCCTATGCTTCCTACGGACCGTCATGGTAGCCGATTCTTCCCCCACGAACTTGTCTTCGGACCCCCGTGTGGTGCGATTGCTTGACGAGTTCACTGACATCTTCGAGTCACCTACCGGTGTGGTGCCGGATCGGCCGATCTCTCACGAGATCATTCTTGAGGCCGGTGTCGTATCTACGAAAGACTGCATTTACTACATGAGCAAGGAGGAACTTAAGGTCCTCCGCGCGCAACTCGATGACTTGTTGGACAAAGGCTGGATCTGCCCTAGTAGCTCCCCATATGGAGCGCTAGTTCTCTTCGTACGGAAAAAAAACAAGGATCTAGGATTGTGCATCGACTACCACAAACTCAATGCGCAAACCATCAAGAATGCGGGGCCTGTTCCTCGTATTAACGATCTCCTTGAGCGTTTGGGTGACGCGAAGTACTTTTTAAAGTTGGATTTGAAGTCGGGATATCATCAGATTTCGATCCAGCCGAACGATCGCTATAAATCCGCGTTCAAGACGCTGTATGGGCATTTTGAGTGGGTGGTCATGCCTTTTGGCCTAACCAATGCCCCGACAACCTGTCAAGCGACAATGACCAACGAGTTCCGTGCGATGTTGGACTAGACGACATTCTCGTCTATAGACGGACATTGGAGAATCATCTGGAGCACCTTCGACGAGTGTTGGAGACGCTCCGCCGCTCCAAGTACAAAGCCAACCGTGACAAGTGCGAATTTGTCCGACAAGAGCTGGAATACTTGGACCATTTTGTCACACCAGAGGGCATCAGTCCGTTGTCAAACAAGATTCAAGCCATCCAAGAGTGGCCGGAGCTGCGGATCGTCACGAATGTTTGTTCGTTCCTTGGCTTTACCGCCTGCTACCAACGTTTTATCAAGGGATACTCGAAGATCGCGGCCCACTTGACCAAGCTTCAATATGAGGATCGGTTGTTCGACTTCGGGGAGGATGCGCGAGAATCATTCTTGGCTCTCAAAGCCGAATTATTGTCCGCGGAGGTCTTGCGAATCTATGACCCGTTATTGCCAACGCGCGTCACTACGGATGTGTCCGACTATGTCATTGGTGCCGTTCTCGAACAACACGATGGCGTGGACTGGCACCCGGTCGAGTACTTCAACAATACAACAATAAAGTGTTCGTCGTGCACTCCATTGATGATGCACGCAAGGAGTTCCTAGCCTCCGTCCTCGTGCTCAAGCGGTGGCAGCACTTCCTCCTTCGTCAAAGTCAATTCCGATTGGTAACAGACCACAATCCGTTGGTCTTCTACAAGACCCAAGACACCGTCAATAGCACCATCGCCCGTTGGATGACTTTCATCGACCAATTCGACTTCTTTCCCGATCACATTCCGAGGAAGTCTAACCATTTTGCGGATGCTCTTTCACGGCGTCCGGATTATTGTACCGCAGTCTATTCGACCTTCGAGATCGACGACAACCTGCGGGACAGTTTCATCCGAGGCTACCAAGCCGACCCCGAGTTTCGTGACAAGTACGTGAATTGCTCCTCTCCTAATCTGGCACCTTCTCACTACTGGATCCAAGAGGGGTACTTGCTTGTCCTCACGCGGGGGAAGGACCTTCTTTGCGTACCGAGTGACTCTCACTTGCGTACACGGCTTCTTGGCGAGTTCCACGATGCTCCCGCCACCAAACACTTTAGAGTCAATCGAACGATTGACTGACTTCGGGAACACTTTTGGTGGCCCGACCTTTTCGGCGACGTTACACACTATTGTGAGCCATGTGAGGTTTGTCGACGCTGCAAATCCCGCAACCATCATCCGTACGGCGAGTTGCGACCATTATCGGTCCCCTTGCGCCGGAGGGAAGTGATTGCAATGGACATTACTGGGCCGTTCTCCAAGCACAAGACCAGTGTGGATGGGATTATCACCGTGGTCGATCAACTCACAAAGTCCGCCATGTTTTTGCCTTGCAGCTATCATGCCAGACACCGGAATTGGTCGAGGTTCTTTTCGCCGGTTTTCGAACCAACGGTTACTCCAAGGAAATTGACTGCGACCTCAAAACTCGGTTCATGTTCGATTTTTGGTTGGCGCTCATCGAACGATGGGGCTCATCTCTCAAGCCAAGTCCGGCTCGCCACCCCCAAACCGATGGCCAAACGGAGAGGGCGCATCAGACCACACAAGTTCTCTTTTCGTACTCTCACCCACCCCGACCAAAAGGATTGGGTTGAGCAGCTGTCGGATGTCGAGGTGGTATACAACTTGTCCATCCACCCGCCGCACCCGGCTATCTAGATGTCACCCTTTGAGTTCGAGCATGACTCGCCGGTCACTTCTCCGTTGGACACAATCATTCCTCCAGCGGTCGAGAGCGACGACCATCTTCTTTTCTTGCGTCGGATGCAAGAGCTACTTGTTAAGGCAGGCAACCAGATGGCTAAGACGCAACAACGCATGAACCAACAGGCCAATCGCCAGCGTCTTCCTTATCCATTCCGCGTCGGCTATCTCGTTTGGGTTTCCGCCGCGGAGTTCAACCTCGAACAAGATATCTCTCGCAAGCTACTCCCGAAATGGATGGGGCCCTGACCGATCGTGGCACCCGCCGGGGATGCACCCGAAGGACCTTCCTTCATCATTCAGGTGCCCGCCCACTTGCCCGTCTACCCGGTCTTTCGTTTCAGCCTGAAAGAATAAGGGCCTACAGGCCCTGTGTCGTTTCAGCCTGAAAAAGGGCCCTCCAGGCCCTAAGTCTTTTCAGCCTGAAACGGAGGGCCATTTTCAGGCCCTCATAAGGTCCTCCTGCCCTGAAACTTAGGCACCAGACCAGGGTTTTAGCACATGCCATTTTGGGCATGTTTTCAAGACAACCTTTGTTGAACTTCAACACCAAGGTCTGGCACGTTTGGCATTGGCAAGAGCAGCCTCCTGGACGGGCCAACACGATATAAGACTGGCCCGCCCTGCAGGCTGCAGGTAGTTCATAGGGGACTTCCGAGGCACTTCACGTGCAGTTCAAGAGGCAGGAGGTAGTCTTCAGGATTCGGCAGCAGCACTCTGGAGGAGCGCTGCAGTAGTAGTAGTAGCCTTAGCAGTAGTCTTCAGCGCTGGGCGCTAGTAGGAGATAGATTAGTACTGGAGAGAGAGAGAGATTTGGCGGAGGCCAGGGAGACTTTCCTGCAGTGCCTTAGCTCCAGCTTCGTCTTCGAGGTACCTGCAGCACGACGTGATCTTCAGAGGTTAGTACCTGGCACATGAGAGAGAGAGAGAGAGAGAGAGAGAGAGAGAGAGAGAGAGAGAGAG